TTAAAAATAAAAAGTTACTCCTTAAACTCATTAATAAAATATTATCATTCAATATTGTTTCTTTAATAAAATTGACAAATATTAAAAATGAAATTTATGTCTATATTTACGTTACATATATTTACTTCTTTATTTTATTATTGTGTTTATTAATAATATTAATAATTATTCATGTTTTTCATTAATTGGAAGATACATAATTAAATTTCTTGTGTATCTTAAATTGATATCGTTGATCCGAATACGATATTATAAGGATATCTCTGAGAATGAGATACGGTGGACCATACGGCGTTGATTTAATTGGAAACGTAATGGCACATTCGTTATAGCAAAGTAGCAAATATCGGGCACACGTGCCGAACAGCAGGTCGAACGGGAATTCATTTTCGATATCAATTAAGCCCACCAGAATGCATATATCCAAATTCCTCTGGTTCGCCACTTCTGACGTCGTCGACACGGCCTTGAACCACTTCGCGCGAAACCAATCGCGAGACGCGGCATCGCGCGAAGCAATCTCGGTATCTGGGTGACTCTTTCCACGGTTAGGGCAATACGTCGGGACACGCTTGAAAGTTGAAGGACAGAAAAGAAGCGGCTTTAAATTATCCGCGGTTAAATATAGGTCGTTTCAGTTTATATTTCGAACCAAAGCCACCTGAATACTTGAGGCTTGTTCACTCAGAGAAAAACATAGTTGTGGCAATTATGAAGGTGACAATTGTGCAAGTTTTATATGTAAAATTAATGTATACAAATAAATTATTTTACAATTATTGCAACTATAATTAGTTCTGCAATTCTATAATTTGTGTAGTTGTCATTTTTACATTTGCTACCATTATGTTCTCTGAGCGTGATATATGTGAAATGTTAGAAATGGTAGTTTCGAAGACTACTAGGATTGCTGCCAAAATTCTTCAAGATTTGTTAGAATTTTAATAAGAAATATGGTACTGTTGAATATTCTCCGGGAAAGCAAGAGAACAAAATTTTTCCTTATACTTTTCTTTTTTCTACTTTGCATAAAAATATTTAAATGAGACCAGCGAATATGTTTATAAGATCTCTGAAAAAATTCTCATGTCATATCTTTTAAGAATTTTTCATGTCTTAAATTTCTAAAAATTTCTAAAGGATTATTTTCTACTCTTTTCGATTTTTTAAATTTTTTGCAAAAATTATAGAATATTAAAAAATTTACATATATATAAAGATTTCTGGAAAAAGATATACTTAGACTTTCTTAGCATTTCTGAAATGTTTCAATTCGCGTGCAAAAATTTGAGAAGTTTTCGGAAAATTTATGGAATTTATATAGGAATTCTGAAAAATTATGTAAAAAATTCTAAAAAGAATTTTCACCAGGAATGTTTTACATTTTATCCGTTTATGATTACTATTGGAAAAATTCAAAGTATCAAAGAAAAAATTAACTCAAAAAGATTTATAAAATTCTTGCTCCGATAAATCGTGCAAATGTGATGTAGAAACAAAGGTCTTTTAGATTCGAAGATAGGTATGAATTTCATTTTGATAATTTATTTTATAATTCTGCGTTTTCTCAACTTGATTTTCTCAGCAAACAAGAACACGATCATTATCCACTGGGATCTCTCGCTGTTCTACTTTACTCAGGAAATATTGTTAGACTCCTAGTACGGCTGATGGCTATACCTCGATAAATCTTTGTCGAGCTGGAACGACAGCAATCCAACTATGTGCCTTCCACTTCATTTCCCACTCAATCACGTCCTTGAATATCGCAGGAACTATTGGAATGACTTGGTACAAATACTTCCTGTCAAGACGAAACGGCGGTCTTCTTCCTCGATCGCGAACGGCCGGACGAAACCATTAGCTCTGTTTAGCTTTGGATAGAGTCTTACCTGCAAACCGAGTATTCGAGTTCCTTGCGGGGAAGATCAACAGGTTCGCGTGCCGGATGTGCCGACACACGGCGGAAGTCCACTCGTCAGCCACGTGAAATCGTTCCTCGTGATACCGATCGGTTCGACCTTTCACCCGAGGAAAGACCCGCGTAAGACTCACGGCGGATTTTTCACCCCTTTCTCTCTCTCTCTCTATTTTAGGGTCATTATCGCGATTTAAGATAACAGACGATTCATACGATTTAAGATAACAGACGATTCACGCGATAAGAAAATCTTTAAACTTCCTCTCTTCAGCTCTTTAAACGCGTGACTATATTTATTGGTTCTTCGAACGCATCTTCTTTTCCGCCAAACGTATCTCAATCTTTAAAAGAGATCTCAAAAGTATCCATTATTTTACGAATGAAAATAGAGAGAGAGAAGCTCTGGCTTTACTTGTGTGACCGTAAAAGAGTTATAAAAAGGGGGTAGGAGAGGATAGAAATCGACGGGGCGTCGACAAATCACGGTGACTTTACGACCGTGAAGGATTGTCGAGGTTTTTTCACGACGCGTAAAAGTGTAGGCCATCTATTCTCACTTTTGTCAGGTCGTACTACACATACAATTCGCTTCTCGTCGGCGGTCTCACTATTTTTCCGAGGCCGTCTACACGTGAGGAGAATACACAGCTAGTTAGACAAACGAATCGGAGAGATGCACTCAGCGAAAAAGACATAGTGGTAGCAATATAAAAGTAACAGCTATAGGTAGTTTTATAGGTAGAATTAATGTAGAGGAAAGGAGATGGTTATAAAATAGATAAGAGATTGCGGAACACTATGATATAGTTTACACATGAAAAAAATGTTTGATTTCACTAATTGGAATTTTGGTGGAAAGTGAATTAATCAGAATTTTTTGTAAAATCTATTAGAATTCTAGTCGAAGTAACCTCTTATAATGATTAAAATTCTGGTTGATTATGATCAGAATATACCGATTCGTTCATTTTCAACTAGAAATTTTTTTCAGTGTGGCCACTGGTTATTAGTGTTTATTGTGTTGTAATTTTGAGAAATATGTTGTATTAATTTTATAACTTCAGTCTACAGCTTGGAGGCCTTGAATGTGACTTTCAATGGTATAATCGAACTAAATTTAGTAACGAAATGTATACGCAACATATAAATACTGTATACTTGACGGTATTCCACATTTTCTCTTCTATTCCATAATCACAACCATATTTCCTTCTTTAGTTTTTTGTAAATTGCATTCGTTCTGTATATCTGAAGAACGTCTACCAAGAACATAATTAGTATCACTCTGGCTAACAAACTTGTATCAAAAATAATTATGTCACATGAATATCTACTGACAATAAATTACTTCAATAAAATAAAATATTTCATAAGTTCCATATACAGTTGAATAAACTACTTTATAGTTATTGCAACTGTAAGATAGTCTATTCAACTATATGCATCAATTTATTCAACTATGTACATTCATTCTACATATAAAACTTGTATAGTCACCTATTTATAGTTGCTACCACTATATTTTTCTCTGAGAGTCTCTGAGAAAGGAGAAGAGGGGAGAGGGAAAAAATCGACGGAGAGGTAAGTACAAAAATTGTATAAGGTCTAACGTCTTTGTCGGGGGAAACCTTGTTTGAAACCTAAACATTAATTGTCGGGATACTCGACCATGGGCTCGTTTTCGCTCTTTTTCCTTCTTCCCTTTCGGCCGCGCGGGAGTTTGTCGAGTGTTGCGAAGTTTCGGTGAAAAAATGTATCAACGTGGAAAAACCGCGAGCGGCCGAACTTGCGGGGTTGGTCTGGCTCTCGGCTAGTTGGTTAGCAACGCGGGTTTCGATTCCGACGACCGCGGTTCGCTCACAAAAAACCGGACAAACCCACTTTTTCTCACGACGAATGAGCCGTCTATTATTTAGCGCTCGCTTCACTAATGGAATATCGATTGACACCGAGAATCCCCTCTCAGGCACGCGACTGGGTGAAAAACTTGATCCACTTCTTTCGGATTTCCGGCATTTAGTCGCCGGAACCATTCGTCCTCAGAACAAGTCGGATAATACATGATTATAACATTTAATTAAGATAATAACTGTACTCAATATGGACTATCTAAGCGTTGCGATTTTTCTTCAGTCTAACAGTGAAAACTGGTGGTCAGATTCAAAATAATCCGAGTCAAACACAAGTTATCATGACATCGAAATGGTTCCAAAAGTTCTAAAAGTTACTTTTCAATCAGTTACGATTCATTTTAATGTCTTATTGTGACTTGTTCTGCTTGAGAAGAAACATTTTTGAACATTACTTGAAAATATTACATAGAAATATATTATTATATAGGCATCAAGGTCCAGTCTCACGATCTTAATTAAATCTCGTAATTTGGCGCTTTTTATTTATTTGTGTTATTCACATTGCAATCTAGTTTTTATTGATTAATTGAAGACATAAGAGAGGCATTTTCAATATTTATATGGAAATAATGAGGGTTTAACTATTCATGTAATTACCTCTAAACAACAAATAGGCCATATTGGGTAGAGTTACGTAATTCAATAATCGAATATTAATCGTTCCATTAAAATAATTGTGGTATTTTTGTTAGATGTAAATATTTGCAAAGTTCAAACGTTTTCTCGAACGTTCAATCGTTAATTCATTAAAAATACATTCAACTGAAGCTGTGTTCCAAAATTGACTGCCAGTATTGAAAATCTATAGTGCACGTAACATAAACTGTAGCATTTTCAGTGCTGGCAGTTAATTTGAAACACTGCCTAAATTTATTCCTCAAGAACACCGAGCAGTCGAGAATCTCCACTTTAAATTTATTTTTTAAACAATTGATTTTTGGCTTTTATTTACATATATATACTAAGAAAGCAAATTATTCTTAACATGATATTTTTAAGAGAAAATAATTTTCAATGCTAATTTCATGTTATATTACAATTATAGAAGAAATACGTTAATGTTTCTTCAAACTTACGCTAAATTCCAAAGTTAAAATAATTGATAATTTAATTATTCCTCTACTGAAATAATATATAAAATTTATAACTTTGTGACATGTGTGTGTTTTTCCAAGATTTCTCTATAGTAGTGGAGAAAAACTTGTCTAACTATCACAACTGGATCTACAAGTTCTGTTTCACGGTTTCGACTCGGTGAACGCCCAATTCAAACGAAATATCTTGTGGTACCTTCCGCATATTTTCTCGACTTTTCCATAAGACAGAAAAATATAGACTTGTCTGATCATTAGCAGTCGAGCCGTCAATTTCTGTCCCGCCGTCGTGATAAAACTACCCAGTAAATAACAATTAACAATAACATCAGTATTACAATTTCACACTTAAAAAATTTAAATGTAATATAATAACCCGATATAATTCATGTTGTACATAACAATTACATTGTTGAGTGTAAAATTATAACATTAATGTTATGTTACTGTTAATCTAGCGACACGGTAGAGTGTCTCGGTTAATATTTACTAGACGGATACATCTCCTAATGAATCCATTTGAAAATTTTCTCTCAGCCTCTCATATAATGAGATCGGACAAAAGTGGGCTTCTCCGATTATTGTGAACCGAAATTCGTTCTCTGCTTCATAGCAGTGAGTCGAGAGAAGAAAAAAAATTGGAGAGATTCCTTTTTATCACAGAACTTTTTCCTTGCCTTCGCAACAATTCATTGGACAAATTCGCGAATATTTTGTTTTGTAGAATATCAAACGAGGCAGTTCTAAATCTCGGATCCCGCTTTCTGGAGTATGCGAGAAGGGAACGGCGACAATAATTGACAGGTTTCCGATGAGACACCCTGCCCTCTTTGCGCGAGAGGACTCCCCTCCCCCCCTCCTGTTTGGTCGAGTTACCGCGCTACGCAATTACAAGTATTTACAAAATCACAATCGACCCTTACGGCTTGAGTCGCTTGTTCCGATATTTCTCTATAATCTCGTTAATGTTTCGCGAAACACGTGTATAGTTTATTATACATACACGCACACGCGAGGATGTGTGCCGTCGTAGACACACCCGTAATTTTACCGCCGCACATCTACCTCGCAACGAACGGAGAAATCCCTGTGCATTATTTCGACACGATTATCATTTCGTAACATCGAACATAATCATTATCGGACAAATGTCAATCACGAATGAGAGAGCACACTATAAATATACGGCTCCCTCATGACGAGCAAGAGAAAGTAAAAATCTTAGTTTCATTTGATTTGAAATACACTCTAAAAAATATGGGTGTGGATTTAACTCTAAAAAATATGGATGTGCAGTGTTTATATAATTTTCACCGTGTTAGTGTTGATGTAAACATCAACATGAATTTAACATCATGGTTAAAAATTCAGTGTTAAATCCACACGATGGTGTTTATATCAACATCAACACGGTGAAAATTACATTTAATACTCGTGGTGTTAAATTGCACCCATATTTTTAGAGTGTACAATTAATACAATTATTTCCTACAATAGTCATACATTTACATCAGGTATCGCTCGACCGGTCGTATTTAGCATTAAACTCCAAAAATATGTACGTGGATTGAAACCCTGGGTGTTAAATATTGAATAAATTCTCACCGTGTGGATGTTGATATAAGCACCATAATGTAGATTTAACACCATGAGTTTTAAACCGTGGTATTCAATCGGCATCCATGGTGTTAAATCCACACAATGTTGGTGTTCAATCAACACGGTGAGAATTATAATTAACACCCATGGTGCTAATTGAATCCACAGCCATATTTCGCAAAGCGTACAATTAGTACAATTATTTCCTATAATATCGTCGCGTTACATCAGACAGATATCGCTCGATCGGCTATACTTATCGCTAAACGTAGCCACCATGTTTCTCGCAAGAAAGGGAGTTTGTAAATTTCTAATTATCCTAATCGTATTAACGGTTTCTATGTCTTTTTACAGAACGGATTAAGCAAATGGGAGCAGTCGCACGCGTTTAACATTATAGATGCTCTAAACGGCAGGAATACGGGCCTGTTTACGTCACGGCGGCGTCGATAAGAACCTCGCGTGTGTGACTCACGCTAAACGCGCGCCTAGAATAATGCTAGAACAGCTTGCTCGGTTGCGCAACTATACCGAGCTCTCTGTCTTTTCAATACTGTACGAGTCGTGTGTATATATATATAATATATATATATATGTATGTATGTGCGTGCGTGTGTGCGTGCGTGCGTTTGTATGTGCGTTCGTGCGTGCGTTTGTTTGTGCGATACGTGCGTGGGTCTACGCACTTCCGGTTGTACGAGTGACCGCGCTTAATCATACCTCGGTTTGTCGCTCGTTTGCGTCGCATTCAAAAAGACGAAGCGGCCGGGGTTGTCATGGTAAATCTTAATAAACAAATTAATTAACGCGAGTACGGCGAGATTCGCTCTCTTTCAACTTCGATTCGCGACGGGGAACAAACGAGGATGCGCGATCAAATGCAGTAATTGTGATGCCTGATATTGTGATCGTCACTTCTTCACGTTGTACAACTATTAAATAAGTCATCGTTTTTGAATTATAAAATGGAATACCTTAATGACGAACCGGATGTTAAGCTGTAATACTCTGATATGTATTGTTGCGATATTGTTTAATTAGTACTGTTAACATTACTGTTAATAACGTTAATTAGTAATATTAACATTACCAATTATGTATTATTGATAATATCAATTAACCCATACAGCACAAACCATCCCAGCAATATTGCAGTAACCTTGCAAGCGTTGCGGCAACGTTGCTACGGGCTTCTGTGCTGGAAAGATGCTACTGACATCAATATTGTAATACCAAATGTTAATTCATTTAGCGCGATATTACAGCTTAGTATTTGTTCGCTGACGTACGCTGACAACATCGCATTTGTCTTTTATCGCAATTATATTGATCGACTTCAATTTGCTCTCCTTCACCGAGAATCCATTAGCACTCTAACTTCGCGTCCAAAGTTCATGTAACTGTCCAAGAACTATTTCCCGCTTACGTCACCGGGAGACTTCAGAGATCCTCTTGTTCTGGGCATTCGGCGGCGGTTTTAAGACTACCTCTTGTGGTTGTGACTGCTGCCTTTGCTCCTGGGACTGTCCGAGGTCACGTCATTGGGCTCTCTCCTCTGTCTCAGGATGAAGTTGAGATTGTGCGCGGTATTTACAGCGTAATAGACGTTAGCTGAGTTGGGCAGTACCATCTCTCGATCGGGTAGCACCTGGGCCAGGGTGTACTGATCGGGACTGCCTTCAAGGCCGAGCTTCAGCATGGCGTTCCGAATAACCTGTGGCGTCCGCTCGTTATTCGACAGCATTATCGACTTGTACAGCACCACGCCCTGCGTTTCCACATTATCCGTTTCCATGGTGACTTTGATAATATAGAAATCCGGCGAGCTTTTGTGCGAGTGGCTGGGACTAGACAGTCCGGCGAGATTCGGGGTGCTACCGTTGGCCGCCACAGCACCGGCTGGGGGTGCCAGGCGAGTCTGATGATTGCCACCTCCACCGGAACTTAGAGATACGTCCAGGGACGGTAGAGACGAGCTCGAGGACGAACTGGACATTTGTGACGGTGACGTTCGCCGGTCCAACGAGTTGTGTGGCGAGCTCGGGAGGGAATCGAGGTCGCAGTAAAACTGCGAACTGCTCGAACTGGACGTTGAGGCGATTGAATCATTCTTGCGGTGACCTTGATGACCCTGTAAGACAAGTTCCAAGATTAAATTCTCGTTTAAGTCCCTGTTGATAATCGAAGATAGATTTTTTTAATAGAATACGTGGCTTACTTAAAAAATACTCGAAATATATCATTAATATTATCACCTCACATGCTTATTTTGTTCGACTCTGATGAAGAAATTTTGGTATTCAGATTAGATAATTTTGGGAAAAATTTCTTGATATTCTCCTATATATATATTATATATATAGGAAGAAAGTAGATTAGAACAGTCTTGGCTAAAAGTATAAAACACCTTCACAAATTGATGTAAATGTTTTACATTTAATGAAAAATGATCACCTTTATTTTTCCATTTTAATGTTTTGTTAGTTTTTCTTTGGATCTTATCGACTTTTCCAAGAAAATGCAATAAATTGAGCCTCATATTTATGGCCAAGGCTATATTTCTTATTAGATGAAAAATGATCACCTGTTTCTTCTTGCCGCGGTTGTTGAGAGTGTTCCCTGGTGGTGGCTCGATCTGACAGCTGAGCTTGTATGCTTCCCGATCGTCCAGCACCACCACCGAGTGAAACCAACGATCGAATACGGGATCCATACTGAAGTTATATGCGTTTGCCGCGCCCTGCAGAAGTCTTATCCTGGCGAGCACCTCGAACTCCTTCCGTCTTTTATCGAAATTGATGAGACCATCGGCTATCGTATCCGGAATTGCCGTGTCGATCATAGTGAGGTCAGTTAGGAAGGTACCTAGATACGGTATCGTGCCGTAACTAATATTCTGAAAACACATTTCAGAAAAATTCACGAACACTGCAAGTTTAAGAGGAAAAGAGAATAACGCAGAGAATACGATATATTCGTCCGTATAAATAAAACTGGTTTCTGTGTAATCTAATCTGTATTTAAAATTATTTGCGAATCGTAATTTTAACACATCTTGAGCTTGTTATTCAGCATAAATTTATATATAATTAATTTTATAATTTTCTGATTTCAAAAAATTAGATATAAGTTATATATATAAATAATTATTATTACATATTAATATGTTAATGTATAATTTACAATTAATATATACATATAATTATAAAGGACCTCGCACCAACCTTATGGGTTTTGACTCTCGGCCTTCCATAATTCGGACCCTAGGCATTTTTGGACTTTGTGCCCACTGAGACATTTGTTCAGGACAATAAGGAGGACAACATAAATTTTCAGACAATTTCACCGAGAGCCAAAACCCATAAGGTTGGTGCGAGGTCCTTTGTATAAAAAATGAAATTTATTTGTGTATGTATATATTTAATTTCATAATTATAGTTCTAGTCTCGTTAAATCATTAAAGCAATTTTCTAATTTAGATACCACTGAGATGTGGCAAACTTTTACAATTTAAAAGTTCTTAAAGTCAAATATCAAATATATTAATACTTTGTCATACAATCAAAATACGAGCAAACTTTTTTCTCTACATAAAAGAAATCGTTGTTGTCATGATTTTTTCTGACGTAATATAATTTAATCTTACTATTCTGTTAGCATCTATTTGATTCAAAATGAATAGTACATTTTTTACTAATATTTAAGAACTTTTTTCTCTGGTATATGATGACATCGTCTGAATGTAAGATCCTTTTTCTGTAAAATCTTTTTTATTGTTTAGAGCTTCTTGATCATATTGACTCTAACAATATGATTGTATAGAAATTTGAACAGAACAACAGGGTTATAAACATCTATACGATCTTCTTAAAAAGCTGAGAAAAAATTTCAAGCTCACAAAAAAGAGCAACATTACACAACGTGTTATTGCACTTACGCCCGCGTGAGTATTCTGTTTCTGAAAGAGCTTCTGCAGATGCCTATCGCTTCTGCCGGCAGTGTCAGCAAATTTGGCAGTGCCCTCTTTGATGAGCAACTCCCTCTGTGTCCAGGCGTTGTTCTCCTCCGAGAATATCCTCTCGAGCTCGCGGAAGAGTTCGTGCTTCTCCCGAGGCATGCACTGCCAACACTTCTCCAATCGGTACACCGGATTGCTTTGGAGGCCGGAGACGATTGCCTTCAAGCTACTGAAATTCTTGAGTACCCGCAACTCCTGCGCGACGTCGATCCACGTCTCGAGGATCCTGGCGCGCTCCTGAGACTTGAGCGTTGTGTCCGTCAGAATCGTCGAGATCACACGTAAAGAGACGGCGTTGAATTGGTTCACGGTTGCCACCACCGTGGCAGCTTCGTGACTCCTGGAACGATCCTTTCTGGACCATACGGCACCAAGACACTGATGGGCGACCAGCTTCTTAAATACTTCGGCATCCATCCGGGTTAACTGCTCGGCGAAATGACGGTGGGGCACCTCGGGGAAGATGTAGTTCCCCCAGTGATCCGCCATCGGATCCGGGGAACCGCGCATGGGTCGACCATTGTCGTACACCATACAGTCTAAAGAAAAAAGAAAACCGAGTTGAAATCAATCTGATTCGATCTCAAATTAATGAAAATTAATCTAGAATTATGTGGTGGAAATGTTATTTTTTTCATAATCGGTTCTTTTATAAAAGTCATTTTTATTTCATACGATTTTTTATGAATTATTGCAAATTTAAAAGAATACCTAATTTAGTTCAATTAAATCAATTTGTGTGGCTTTGAAATTTTAATGAGATTTAAAATTTAATACAAATTTTAAATCTCATTAAATTTTAATATTTAATTCTAATATAAGTAGATTGCTTTAGAACTTCTTTTAAGAATATCCAAAAGCAGAACTTAAATTAATCGAAAATTAATGAAAATTAACATGGAATTAAATGGTGAAATGTTAATTTTCATATTCGAAGTCCATTTTATAAAATCCTTTCTTATTCCATACATTACAGTTTTTTAAATTTATTATTGTAAAATTTAATTAATGTATAAAAGAATAATTTAAATTAATTTTATAACTTTCATATTTTAATAAGATTAAAACTTTATATTAAATTTTAATAATTCTGAAGTAAATACGTTTTCTTAAAATTTTTTTGAAAATTTACAAAATATTACATTCTATCAACTCTTATTAAGAACAAGTCTCAATTATATTCGTGTCAAAAACTTTCTTTTGCGAAGTTTATTTCAAAATATTCTCTCTTCCTCTGTCTCTCTCTCTTTCTCTCTCTCTCTCTCTCTCTCGTTATTTTAAATAAAACCATCTCTATTTTGGAAATGTCGCAACTGGATCGAATTCTCCAGGCGAGTCTTGAGTGAAAGGTGAGCCCTGCCCGATCGTGACAGTATAATAGAGCCTGTGGACCCTCAATTTATACACGGGAAGCAGACGCCTTTGTGCGAGCTCGAGCAGCCTGATTGGCCTTTCACCGTCACTAACAATCGGACTATCTTTCTGTGTTCCAAACTGCCGATAGAACGATTCTTTCGTAATGCTGTTCGCGCCAATAAAATATGCCGTTTAATTTTTCTTTATTCTAGAAACTCGCGAGATATATGTTGAAACGCATTGCGAGATCTGGATATATAAAGAGTCATTAAACTCTGTGTTATTCCATCTGTTATGTTTTTCTTTTTTGCACAAGTTTGAGGAGACAGTTTTGCAATTTGGGGTTCCTATGAACTTCGAAGATTGTGTGCGATAATGTTTGACCTTTCTCCTCGGATAATGCATTTGAAATATGTCATATTTTAGCGGATGTTTTGCTCGCTTATCGCGGTTCAACGAATTCTCTGTAAATATAAAGCAGGTCGCTATATGAATCATTACTTGATACATTCAAATTGTGTGCATAAGCAAGAATCTATTATTATTAACAATTAAGAACAATTTGAATTCCTTATTTTTAATAACTCAAAATAAGAAAATTAGAGCTACTAAAAATCGGCACTGTAGTTAGTGCGCTATGTATTAATACAAAAAACTATATTTAACCGATGTTTAAAAAATTCATATTTGACATTTAATTGTATAATTATATATATTACTACATTATTCGACAAAAATGTCTTTTTCTTAATACTGAAACAGAAACTAGTCATTTTTAAATAGTTTTTTGAATGCTGAATATCTACACACGAATGTGTTTTCCAAATTGTTCTATCACGTTAAAATTTTTTAAAATTTGCAATTCAATTTTGCAAGAAAGAGCTATTTTTATTAATTTTGTAATATTATAACTATGATTTATGATATAATAGAGAAATTTTATCACAATCAAAATTAAATATGTTATTAGGACTTTCAGCCCTCAAAAGGATTTTTTAATCAGCTACGGTTAATAAAATATATAGTTAAATATAGAGTCCATTACGGAAAAGTTGTGAATTTAATTATTGATGATTTAACAAACAGCTTTCAACTATATTTATTTAAACTTAAGAGATTTTAGATCATTGAATACGAATCCGATGTCAAAATTGACAAATTCCAAATTATTAATTTAATATGGCGGATATCAAAACTTAAAAAATGTCTGGATTATTGCAAAATGTATAGATGTCTTTCATAATTTTGAATTTGTCAATTTTGACATCAGTTTCGTATTCAGCAATATTTAATCATAATTATTATCTTATAAATCATATCTGACACTAAAAAAACTTTTTAAGGATTGAAAGTTCTAACAACATACTTAATTTTGATTACAATGAAACTTTTTCAACACATCACTTATCATAGTTATAATATGATAAAATATGTAAAAATAAGTCTTTTTTATAATTTTAAATGCAAATATCTCAAAATTATGACGTGATGGAACAATTTGGAAACCGGATTCCTATCCGCAGTATTTAAAAAACGGAAAATGACTAGTCTCGTTCTAGTATTCCTTTTTTTCAGTATTATTACTCGATTCTATTTTCACTCGCTATTAACTTTTCGAAAATCACTGCATGCTTTTATTATAGATTTGAACTTTATTTAAATACAACCAGCGGATTAAAAATTTTTTTCATATTTCAAAAACCTTTCTGTATTTTTATACTTTTATTTTAATACTGTATTGTATGACATTTATTTGAAGCAGATTTTAAAATATTAAATTTTTATTTATAATTGGAATCGGAATACATAATCTAGAATTATCTTATAATAATTATCTTATAACAATTCCGAAGCACATATTCCAATTTCATTAAATATAAATTTATTACTTTAAAATCGAGTTTAAAATTTCTAAATTTTAAACACGATTTTTAAATAATGATGTCATTAAATAATTTTTATTTTGAAATTTTGGAATAAATAATCCAGAATTGTCATAAAATGTATACAATTATCACAAGATAACTTAATTTTGGATCATTATTCTAATTTCATTAAATAAAAATTTATTATTATGTGTAAAAATCACATTTCAAATATATGATTACAGTACTGAAAAAAATGCATGTAATTTTACATGGAAATTACATGTTCATGACTGGAAAATTACTAAAATATGATTGAAAATTTCCAATCATATTTAAGTAATTTAGATAATTTTTCAATCATAAACATGTAATTTCCATGTAAAATTACATGCATTTTTTTCAGTGAGTACACACACATCGTATTAAAATAAACACATAAAAATATAGGAACGTTTCTGGAATACGAAAATTAAAAAAATTTATTAATTCCAGTTGATTATATTACATTAATACTATAGAATTTGATCGATATTAAAGAATTCGATTTGATGAATTTCGTACCTCATTTTGATTACAACAAATTAGCATCATAGCCCGTTATATATTATATAGATAATAATAACAACCCGTTTCTTCCACAGTTTAACCAAAACCGATATGGTTCTTAGGAAATGTTGCGCCGCATTATCATTCTTCATATTTGAGCTTCTCACGGTGCCTTATCAATTATACGATTCTTTGTGTTTAAAGTTCACGCAGGTGAAACGACGTGACTCACCAAGCCGGTGAAATAACATTACCTATCTGATCCTCCCGTTGAAACCGATGCAGTCGGTGCTTGGCTTTGAGTTCGAGCTCAGAGCCGATGAGACGCTGCTGCGTGAACTCGAGGAGCCTGGCGAGAAGGGAATGGCTCGGGGGTGACTTCCAATCGCCTAGGTAAGCGTCCAGCCAGACGTGCAGAGCCTGGACGAGGGTCTTGCGGTGCTGCTCGCAGCCGGCGGTCCCGTCCAGGGCGTCGTATCGCGCGAGCAGCAGCTCGAGGACTTCACGCGGGCTGGTGAACGCCCGGTATGTCGCCAGGAAGATGTTTATGTAAGTGGACTCCAGCTCGCCGTCGTCGTTCGCCAGACTTTCGACCAGCCGCTGCACCGTGCCGGCCTTCAAGAAACGCACTCGCACCGTCTCCCATTCCAAATGTGAAATCTCGTCGTCAGAATCCTGGAGAATCGCAACGAGTACATTAGTTGAATATTGAAACTATTAACTAAAAACAAACGCACAATATACAGCGCAGAGCATTTCAGCAACGTTGCAGCAACGTTACAATGTTACTGTGCTGGAATGTGCTGTATGGACGCTTTTGTGCCAGATTCCTTTAAATAAAAGCCTTTTACTCTAGAACGCTCGTCAATATGGATGATACAGTGTTACTATTGATATATAAATCTGTTTTATATATCAATCTGATATATAAATATCTAATATATAAATTTTTGTACTCTCTCTTTTCATCACTTTTAATGATAACATTTTTATAATCTCTATAAATTAATATTTATAGACAAAATGTTGTTATAAACCTTTATAAATAACCTAATTATTAAATTAATAAAAACAAGATTACTGTCTTTCATTTTGAAATGATATGGAGTGTGTAATCCAATAAAACTGCTTCAAAATTGAAAGCACTTATCACATTATTTCTCTCTGTTATAATACTGCCCACCAAAAGATCCAAACTGATATATAATGGACTGAATTTTTAAAAGCTTGTCCCGGCTTTGGTGGATGGCACTAGAATGGTACTCAATTAGACTTCAGCTTTCAGCTTGACAGATTTAGATCCTCATGCTAACCATATTAAAAACACAGCTTAGCACTCAATGATCTCACTTACACGTGAAATTTACATACAATAGCGTTCTAGGATTAAATAAAAGTCTTTAAATAAATAGTAGCTTAAAATTTAGAAACTTCAAAGAGCAAGTATTTAAAACTTGCTCTCTTTGAAATTTTTAAATCTTTAGCGAAGAGACCATGAATCTTTCTTGAATCAAAAAATTGTGGAAGATATTAGTTACAAGTAGATCTCCATTCAATCGCAATAAGAAAAAGTTAAATTGTATTGGTAAAAATAATTAAACTCTAAAAAACAACTACAATAAAAAAAAATTAAATTAGTTAAAATTATAATTAAACTCTAAAAATGATTAAATTAAATTAATAAAAATTATTAAGATCTAAAAAAAGGATAAATTAAATAGGGTAAAAATTACTACCAAATGCTAAAAATCTAAAAGAAAAGGACAAGTTAAATCGGTAAAAATATTAAACGTTAAAAATCTTGACTAAAAATATTTCGATCATGCTCACCGATGCTGAAAGACTTCTCGTGGGCCGATGGTATCGGACCTTCTTTAGATATACTGTATAAATGACGCCGTCGCCTCTTTCCTCGCCCCATAAACGCCACGTGGGCTGTAAAGTAGAAAATCGAACGCCGAACTTAGTCATGAACGTCCGTATCAATAAATGCTGTAAGCGGTATAAAGGAACAAATAATGAAGGATCACACAGGGGATGATTTAAATTTCTAATTTCACAGCGGAATATTCGTTACCCCCTGTCACGACCTAAAGAAGTAACAAATAAACAGAGCAACTGTAGATAAAAAATATGATTCTATTTTTTCCATCCACAGTTAATTTGTTTATTGTAACAAGTAAAATTGACATGTATTTAATGGCTTTACATCGAATTATTACATTATTCCATATAAGTACAGTTAGGAGGAGAAAGTAAAGTTTTTTTGTATAAATTTTGTGTGAATATAATCACGTTGTCGTTAATTAACATATTATTACTTTGTATCAATTATTAAAATTAATTGCTGTATAATTATCTTTACAAATTTTTTATTTTGTATTGACTATAAAATCATCCCCCAGGTTGCCTTTTCATATACACTAAATATGAAAATTTGACAGACTACATGCTTCATCACATTTTCAATTTTTCTCATAAAATCTTTAGATTCAAACATAGCTAATATATTTAAATCTAAAATAATTACGTGTGCTAATGCAGAGATTTCTGACAGAATGCTTTAATTAATCCATAAAAGTGTGCGCATCAAACCATAAAAATATGTGTCCGATAAAATCTTATTCTTTTCAAAATTTAATCAGATATTGTATAGATAATTACAGAGTTTTTTATTTTCTAAAACTTGATTCAAGCGTTGCAAAACATTCTGCAGAATTATTGCAAAAATACTGTAAGGATTATGATAGAATAGCAGAAATGAGATAAATATCCATATGCAATTGCTTGATGAGAACAAGTACATGGTTGAATTTACGTATTTTACGTGAACTACGCAGACAAGAATTCATGGTACGTACGTGAATATAACGTTGCGATTTTATTATCAAATCAAAATAAATTTTCCTCAAATTTCAATGTGGATTCTACGTGGATACTTCTATATATAGATTCTAACAGATGTAATGTAGAATTGCTGAACTAAAGTCGCTCAGCAATACGCGGTGGAGTTCTATATTCTCGCAACATTATATGACCTAATAAACAACCACTAACTAAGAGTAACATAACAGTAATTATAGTTCCACACTGAACAATATAAATGTAATATAACGCATGTTGGACATGTATAACAATGTAACAGTTACATTGTTGAGTGTGAAATTATAACATACACATTGATGTCGTATTACTTTTATAGTCGGTTAGTTTTACTGAGAGAAAAGATATTTCATTCATATAATCCTAATAAAGCGATTTCTTGAAAGAGGGTCTCCAAAATTAGGTCCAAGATGAAATGTATTTTGACAGTACAATTTTGTTTAGTTCTGTATAAAAATTAATTTAAAAACTTGGTATTCTTGAAAATTACATATAAAATGTATTAAATTAATAATTATACCTTAGATACATATATTAAGAACTAAACTGCTGGGTTCAGTTCTTAATACATATTAATGGATATTACAAGGAAACTTACAGACATAAGACAAGATCGATTAGAAATATCGATTAAAATCTATGCCCATTCAACTGTTCACGTGAAATCTTTATCTATTTAGATAGAAACATCGAATCCACATACTTGTTCCCATTGAGCGATTTATCCATAGATTTTATATCTATGTGTTTATCAGACAAGATAATTGTCAAAAATAAAAAGAGTCTAAATCTACTTACTAACTTCCTTGATTTATCATTTAATGAATAAATCACGAAATCAGCTGACTCATGTCCATGCATAATAAACATATACTACTCGTGTGTATGTGTACGCATACAAATATACATGCAAACGTATTACTTATCAGTGACAGTCGGTCGAGCCACAGGCAGTCTGTATAATTAATTTCAACTTGATAAAGACGGACTCACTCACGCGATGACGTAACATCTATGTGATAACGCTCGCTTTAAAGGTAGTTAGCCTTTAGAAAAGGTGTTTTGGTTTATCATCACGGAAAGAAACTACAATTAGCGATCTTCTTGCGCTTGTCGTCCCGCAAATTAAGGAAATAACTAGTTATTCCCTACGGCTTAACATCAAATTGAGAAGTTTAGTTCAAATTTTAAAATTCAGTTAACAAGGTAGTTCTTTAGAAAGTTGATTTAGTTACTTTGATAGAACACTAATTTGACGTAGTTTGGAAAATTAATTTAAGTGAACCTTTACAAAAGTAAACCTTTAACCAATCAAATATAATCAATCGTGCTATTAGTAACAGTTTGAAAATCACTGTTTGAAAATTATCAGTTTTATCTAAATATATTTTTTAGTTATTACTACATAAATAGTAAGTGAATTTAAAAAAATAATTATATTTGTTATAATTGTGATTGCATTTACTGAATAAAAATGTTTATTTTATTTACCATTTATATCTTGATATTTCACTACATTAATATTTAAAATTATTATAATTTATAGTACAATTTTTTCATATTTGAGAGGACTGTCATATATGATTTTTATTACTAATATTATAACAGTAATAACCATAAAAATGGAGCTCCCAACCATAATTATTTTACCATGCAATTATAGTCACAAATATCAAACATTTTTCTTTCATATAATTATTTGTGTTGTGTCACTTTTGAACTTTGAATAAAGGGAACGATAGATATCGATCGTTGATGCAACTGTCGTTTTTTTTTCTATAACGAGGCGATCGATCATCAAGGAGCTTGTCGTATGACGTCCATTTATTTGACATTGAGATCCTGTAAACAAAGCGAGTCTTAGAGGCCGTAAAGGGGGCTTAATGTCGTGGAATCCGACACGATAAACGTACGTATTCACAAACGATTACAATCGAAGCCGTACTGAGGACATAATACCAACGAGGGGCGAGAGACCGGACGCGAAGAGAGAAGCGTGTCATTGCCGCCTTCGATGTTTTTCTCGCTAGAGAGAAAAGAGTCTCGCGGAAAAACGACAGAAACTGGAATCTGTAAAGACCTCATGCCCCTCATTTTTCCTGTTGGACGCATTCTCAAGAACGTTTCTCCCGCGGGGTATTAATTAAGAAAATTGTTCACAGAACTAACTGCTCGGAAAATCGCATATTTTATTGTAGCTATTATATATAAATAGCTATTACATATAAATATAATTATAAGGCTTGTTCTTTTTGCACCAGTTCCTCCTGGAGAGAAAAGGAAGAAAGATGAACTGGTGCAAAAGTTCAGCCAAAAAGAACAGGCCTATACATATAGATTAGATTTAATAAAAACAAATTGATATTAGCACGAAGTTAAATGAATTATGAAATAATAATAATGAAAAAAAGAATTTCTTATAGGATGCTAAAATATTAAAAATATCTTTTTTATTTGAGAAATTAATGAAATTATTTATTCGAATTGATGAATGTCGTCATCAACGTATTAGAATTAAGTTCTATCAACTTATTACTTGTAATTAATTGTTTTCTAAATTTTAATAGATTCTCTTGATCTTATCTATCGAAAATTACGTCTAATTATTACGATTAATTTTGATCCAAGTTAGATATCATAACGAAAACTTCTCGCATTAATGATTAATAATACGAGTAAAAAAAATAATGATTTTTTACTTAATTTGTGCTTTATGACATGAATTTCTCTTTCAAAAATTAATTTGAGTAAATTTCTCGCAATTTAAGAATTATTTAATATATTTGATTTTAAAAATTCGAACGACGAAGAGCTGTCGATTTCACCTCGATACAACCGAGACCCAAGAAACGAGGATTCCAAGTCCACCCGCTCACGCCCCGGAACGACCGAGCAATTAGACACTCGCAGAGGAGGAACCCGAGCGTGACTCGAGGTCCTCGTACCTGTATACTAGTCCTTGATAGCCGCTTCCCTCATGTCGATTCGCCATTGTTCCGCAGTAAACAGCACGAGCCGAGCCTCGATGCTTGTTCCTTTTTTTTTAGCAACTGAGTACCTTCCGATCGAGGTTGAATTGTAATTAGGGACATTTCCGGTAAAGACTCATGAATATCGTACGATATCGTTCGTTGATCACGTCACGCAGGATAATGTTTTCATCTTAAAACACGTGCGCACGCCCCCTCCGAGCTTATCTTATTCAATTTCGTAATAAGGACGTGTATAAATTACTCCTTTACTTCAAAAGTGACACAATTATTTTTCGATTTGACAGAAAATTGACTGATCAAATAATATCGGCAAGAGAAATATATATAATATTCTTAAAATGATCAAATATCATTTTTATCATTTTCCTTTCATCATTAAAAACTTCTCTTGTTGAGTTGTGACAATTTTTTTAAAAACTATTCTTTTTGAATTGTAACGATTTTAATGACTTTAACGAAGTTAAATTGATTCACACAGAGAGAAATGAATTTGTTATTAGAACAAAAAATGATTTGTTCTAATAATGTGTGATGGAAAAGGGATCGATCAGTTACTATTGTTTATCATTTCTCACTATTTGTCAAATTTAACAAACAATATACGGTTTACCATAAAGTAACAAATCATATTCGTTTTCGGTACCGACACATTTGTTGCCATTATATCTACAAATCAAATTTTTTACAGATATTAGCGGCTTGATAAATTAACAAAATCTTTTCTCTCCGTATACTTTTGATGATTAACAGAATAATGTTCACTTAACTCGTTTTTTGAACTATGTATATCATTTTTAAAGTGACATAAGGGAGCGATATATTTATTATTATATTATGCAAGAAAGGTAACTTTTAACTTTTTCTAAATAGAAATTAAGTATTTGAAAACTTATAACAAGAAATTTAACTATACGAGTGCCGAAAACAAAAATCTTAGAGGAAGCTACTGAATTAAACAGCACTTATTTATTTGTAAGCACTTTGGAAAAGTATATAAAAAGTATATAAAAAGTGATTTTGGCTCAGGACAATTTCCAAAGCGGATGAAATGTGTGTTACAATTAGAATAAACGTTCGGATTCATAAATACAGAAACGTTTTGGCGATGGCACACGATCGATCGACGGGGAGCAATAACTTTCTGGTGGTTTCCGAATTTTAATGTTAGTCGCGTGTAACATATCGGGTGGCGTGTAATAGCTCTCACACATGAAATGCATAACAGGGCATAAGCATAACATAAGATCGCTGAACCAATGAGCATCTTATGTAAATCAATATGGATATGTAGATCGATAGCGACATTACGCTGGATGCTCATTGGTCCAGCAGTCTTATGCTTATGTTCTGTTATGCATTTCATGAGTGACAGGCTTTAGTGGACCGAATATATGGTGACCGTAGATACGCGATTCGCGCCGGTTCGGGGATCGATCGTCGCGAAACGAGTGCAAGATTCATGAGATCATGTCGATATAGTCGTACAGGTACGACTATAAGTAAATTGACAATGGTTGTAATACCGTAAACCGTTGTAGGTACATCATTCATCGTTTCTGGAACGTCGAGACGTGTATCTGCATTCGCGCGCGAATGGTGAACGGGGCGGCGTCGCGGAATCCCGTAAATGTCCCGCTGGGGTCAACGGTCCGCCCGCGGGGTCCCGAAATACATCCCTATTATTTCCCGTTGGATTTCTCGCGAAGTCCATGTCGGAGACTACCGTGAAACTGCGACGGGGAATGTTCGAGCGCGACGAACACAGACGCGCCGTCTTTGCATCGCTGGATCAATTTTATCCATTTCTCTTTTTAGAATTGCTATAAACTATACTAGGAATCTTTATGTTTCATTATTGTTGTCTCATTGGAAGGAATGACGAATGCACGATATTTTTCTACGAAAAATTCAGAATCGACGTTTCTTTAAATATTGAAGTAATATTTTTGATAAACGATGTGTGTATAAATATTATATAACATATAATATGTAATATATACATTTCAGGCCAAAAGTTTAGAAATATTTTTTCAAAATTGACATTTTTGAGATTACTTATTCAAATATCCAGAACAATGTGTTTTTTTAACAATAATTTTTCAGATCTTATAATAACAATTGTTAAATTTAAAGAATTATTATAAAAAACACATTGTTATGAATATTTGAATAATTCTAAAAATTCTATTTTTTTTTAAGTATTTCTAAACTTTTGGCCTGGAGTGTAAATACAGTTATATGATATTAATCAACATTTATTCCGATTCTAGCAGTCGCAAAAGACGCGTTTTCTTTTGATAAGAAGTGATTTTCGCGAAGAAAAACTTCCTTAGCCGGTTGAGGCTAATGTAATTTTTATTTTTACTCATCGAACTGTCAAGGGATCGCTTTTTTCCACTCAGGAGACGATACAGTTCCGATGACACTTTGACCCTGATTACTCAGTTAAACAGCCGGCGTGTGTGCGGCACACATACGAGGATCAATGCGCGGCTTAATCCGGGAATCAATGTCACTCATTGCTTCCAAGGTTTGGTAGGGGATTGAGATAGTTACAATATAATACATCTGTTGCACACGCTTACAAATCCTGTTTGACATGCACTAGTCTAAACATCGATGATGAAAGTAACGAAAAGATTTTCATTCATTTTTTTTTTCATGCATCTTAAGGTCTAATTAAAAATATTCACTCATCACAAAAACAATATTTTTAGCAGGTCACATGCAAACATATTGGGTGTATCGTAAAGATAAGTACATTCTCCGATTGAACTCCGAATTTCTTATCGAAAAATATTTGACTAAATACGCAAAATAAGCCTTGAATTAAAAATTTATTACTGGATGAATTTTGATGAAAAAATATAAATATACATCATTTTTTTCCCATGTAGATAAAATCAATATGAAAGAATCGATTAATGAATAACTAACTCATTATACGTTACATTGAGAACTAAGAATAAACATAAAGATACATTTTCTGATTGAATTCCAAATTTCTATTGTCAAATCTCGTAGAACAAGCATAGAACTAAAATTTTACCGGATGAATTTTAATAAAAAAATATATTTAGGTAAAAACATACTTCATAAATAAAAAGCATATATAAATTTATTTTACACTACTATTTTAAACTACTGCTTTCACAAAATGTCTTTTTATCTAAGAGTCTAAGAGTCTTTTTATCGAGATTATTTTCGACTAAACTAGTGCTGTAAATACAATATCTTTTTTCCCACGTAGATAAGACTAATGTAAAAAGAATCGATTGATGAATAATTGATTATATGTTACATTGAGAACTCCACTTTCGGTGTTGAGGAATTCGCGATTAAGCTAGCTTAACTCGAGTGTTTGCCAACGTATTATCGGGAGCATTACGATACACCTTTCATGCGAAATACGTATAACGTATAAGTACACCAAGCATCGCTCAATGACAAAGTGCCGGCAAATCAAATAGAAACAAACCAAATAGGAATAAAATCACGAATGGAAACGAGAGAATCAATCTTATCGCTCTCGATAATTAATCGTTATCATTCTCCCATAATCTCTTCGCATCTACTAATCTCCCTAAGACTGTACTTTCCCGCTTCAAACAAACATACGAGTCGTCAACGAAAACGAAGCAGAACGAACGAACGAACGAAGGCCAAAACAGCAGGATGCCATCCGGTCATCCGATGTCTCTTTACCTGTTGCACGTACCACTGGGTGGAGCTCTGGCTCTTCCGGTGGCCACCGGGTTTACAAGGGGCGCAGAGCAGCAGAGGGGTCAGTTTGTTCACCCCCTTAGCGGAGGAGACGGCGCCGGTCGCCACCGGCGTGGGCGACGCTGTGGGACTCAGCCCGTCATCCCCCCCTAACACTGGCCACAGCATCCACGTGTTTTAACCCACTGACCCCCTACTTCGTCCTCACCCCCTTTTTTCCTCGCTGCCACCCCCTCGATGCTCCCTGCTCACCGCCTTTGTCGCGGAATTGCACGTCTTCGTCTCTCGTCTTCTTCTTCGCGTCCTCTTACTCGTCTTCTTGCTTCGCCCCCCTTGGTATCCCACCCTCTTCTTCTCGGGGGAACAATCTCTTCTTCCGGAAAACTTCCTCCCGCGTTACTGCGCGAGTTGTCGCGATGCCCGTTGCCGACGAACTGAGATCGTCGCGTCACCACGCCTCGATGTCGATGACGACGTTGACGTTCACGCGCGATAGCCCGCTCGGGATGCAGGAGCGTATCATGGTATCAGGCCGATGCGGATTTCCGACGTTCGACAGCTGCGGCTGAAGTTTGAGATTTCGATCGGTTGAGGACGACGGGCAACTTATTGTTTGCTCAGCTGCCTGAGAAGTTCGTGGAGTCACTTTGTCGTTATTTCGCGACGCTCGTCGTTATTTACGAGCGCTGGAGATTAATAACTAGAGCTAGTTTTCCGCGAGATCGTCGTGATCTTAGAACGTCATGATGTTAAAGTTTATTCATTATCAACTTTTTGTATATGTTTATTCTAAGTATACATAAATATTTAAATCCTTGTTGTAAGTTTTTAGAACTTCATAATTTGTATAAATTTATTCCATAATATTGATTTTTATTCAACGGAAGACATAAATGAGATTTTAATATAAATTATGTTTTAATTACATCTCATTAAAATTACATTAAAGAATTCGTATCATATTGTTTCAAGCTACATTAAAGCAATTTCCATTTTCAATTTTTTTAAATATTATGATGATACTTTTAGAAAGATTATTTTAGAAGAATTCGAATTTTAATTTGACATTCCCTTTCGAATTAATTTTAGTACGATCAATTGTTCACTTTTCTTTACGTTCTGCAAGCGTTACTCGCTTTTTAATTTAGATTCGGAAAAATAGATTTGTTTTGAAATACATATTTTATTCAATCGATTGTAGAATTACTTTATCTGGAACTATTTTAAAACTGGACACTTTTACGTAAATCGTTGCGTGTAGGTGCGTTTTCAGAAATAAATCTGAATTTATTTAGGTCACCCATTCTTCATATTTATATAAATTTAAATTCAACACTCCGAGTATTGACAATTTCTATTCATTCGGAGACAGAAACATTAACGAGATTTTCATGTAAATTTAGGTTTTAATTACATTCCATTAAAATTATATTAAAGAGATTTCAATATTTTATTCTTTTTAAATATTACTGATAATATAATATATTTGAAGAGATTGTATTTCAGACTAGCATAAATTTGAATTCTAATTTGGATTGCAACTTTTTTGCATTGATTCGCGCATCCATCATCGCAGCCCTGAGGCGAGTGCACAATTGTACGTTTATGCTTATCGAGAATCGATCGTTGTGTTACACCTGTCTTACAACCTGACTAACTGCGAAAACAAACATACGAACCCGATACACTCTATTTCGGGAAACTAACAAGAACGAGACGCCCCCGGACGCTTCGATAGCTCAACAAGTAATTAACTCTGAAAGGTCGTAGGTCACGTGCGTGTATGTATCTACTTCCGGTACGCGTATCATGTCCATAGCATGGACTACGCAACCCCAGGGCACTATGTATTTTGAATAAAGGATGGAGTTGCGTAGCCCGACTTCACTACCTCTTTCGCCTCTCGCAGCTAAAGGGCAGCATATATGCAAAGTGTTAAAGGGCACAGCGCGTTATTTAAATGTTATTTTACCAAAACGAAGGCAGAAATTTTCCTACAAAGGAAGAAGCTATTATATCTGTTTAACGCGTTTGATTTCACGTTGTTCGATTTAATAATTAAAATGACAACTAAGATGAATAATAATTAAAGTGGTGATACAAAAAGTTGCATGTCGTTCAGTTATTCTATTAAGTTACGATTTAATAGAGAGAATCAATTAATTGTGATAGCAATTTTCTGTCTCAATTGTTTATACTTCAAATACAGTCTTTACTGTAAGTATAAAGCAATCTTAATTTATCTATATTTATTAACTATTTATTTTCTTAGGAAAGGTAGTAATAACAGCTAAAGGAAAAAACTAAGAAAATATTAAAATTATTATCAAAATAAATATAATTTTTTAATGAAACTGTTTTTAATTTATTTTATTTTTTATTGGGTTAGAATCAAAGTTCGTAACGCTACTTCATTTGTATCATATCTACATATTTTTTTAAAAATTTGGCAATTATATCGTTCAATAAGTTTCAACTTTAAAAATCTGTCTCTTGAATTGCGGCAGAATAGTATTTAACGGAGTTATGAGCGATTTAAAAAGATCAAAATGCTCCTATTATTTAATCTGCAGTAACAAAAAAAGCCTTAGAAACATTAAAAAAATGAATTTATAGGCTTTCACATAAGAAAGTCGAAAATTGCGGTAAGTTTTTTTAGGCACGTGATAGGTCCACAAAGTGAGAAGAAAATTTTCCATTTTGTCCAACTTGTACTCTTTTCTATACGTATATAAAAATTACTAAATTCACAGAAACTCAAAAGACATCATGACTTTTCGAAAGTAGAGATTTTAAGCTTCAAAACCCTTTTTTCAAATTTAAATTTATTCATTTTTAACAAAATTAGCTGCTTGAATTTTGAAATTCGTAGCGCTATGAATTTCGATTCCAATCGAACGAATAGCATAGAACATTTATATCAATTTTGTGGAAACGTTTTGTATTTATAGCTAAAGCATTGTATTTCTCTCGTCAGACGGAGCGATTTTTCACAAATTTCTCTGCGTAATATCATCTTACACTGTTAAATCTATAGTATCAAATTTAACCTAACGTGAGTCGCCACTGCTCCTACTAAATATATCGTTATTTTTTACCAAAACGATGGTTAAATATGACACTATATCGTGTCAGTTTAATACTATATAGTGTCAACTTGACACTGTATAGTGTCAAATATAACCATTATTTTAGTATAAAATAAATTGAGTAGGAGCAATGGCGACTCACGTTAAGTTAAATATGACACTATAGATTTAACAGTGTAATATCAAAGGATCAAATGCATTTGGAATCTCACCACGTGAAACCGTGACTCATCTTGTCGATTACCAGTTTGTTATGTCATCGTTACGTTCCATTTCATTAATGGGCAGTAATCTTCATTTCGCGAATTAATCACCACGGTCGCGCGCGGAAATGATATCTCCTGGGAAGGGAACGCGAGATTCCTGACTTAACATTCCAGAACCAACGGAGGATTGCTGGAATGGAACGCGAGATGAAAGAGAAAATATATTTTTACTCCTGATTTTTATTCTCAGGGGGGAAGTATTCTTGGGGCGCGTTGTTTAGAATACTTCAGTCCGCACGGGGAGGGAAAAGCGCGTTATTATGCATTATGGAGTGCGCAATCATTTCAGAAATATGCTTCTATGCAAACTATATTTAGAATATAATGTATCCAGAAAGTTTCTCACACACAAACTCTCTCTCTCTCTCTTTCTCTCTCTCGAAATATTCCTGGCGTATTTTTGCTCTCTTCGGAGAAAAAGATTCCAGAATACCTCCTCTAACCTGCTAAAGAATTCAGAGTCAGTTTTTTCAGAATGTTCTCCCACGAGTGCGATGTCAAAACGTGCGGGAAACGTCCTTGCGGAATGTTATTCCCTTGCATTGAGAGAAAAGGATTTGGTATTTGTGGCTCTAATTACATGATGAAATAATTACGGTTGTTATGGTTAAGACTTGGGTTAAGAGTTCCATTTTTTTCGTTATTACTGTTACAACCCTGACAAAAAGTACAAAGCACTTCCATAAATTCACATAAATGTTCGATATCTAACGAAAAATAAATTGAAGTTTTTATTGAGAAAAATAAAATTTATTTTTATAATTTTAATATTTTGTTAGTTCTTTTTTCCTTTAAATTTTATTATATGACTTTTCCAAGAAAATGCAATTAATTGAGGGTACTTTATACTTATGGCCAAGGCTGTTGTATAATCTTAGTAATAATAACACTGTTTGACAAAAAAAAAACACTAGAACGAGACTAATCATTTCTCGTAGTTTTTTTGACGTTGAATATGAAATTTATTAATTTTGAAATGGAATTTATATTTAACGACTTAAAAAACTTTTAAGTTTAAATAAATATATAGTCGAAAGCTATTTATTAAATCATCGATGACTTAATTCACAGTTTTTCTGATTTATTATTTAATCTTTTTTTAAACTTATTATCTCTTATTTATTTATGAATATTTTATTAACTGTAGCCGACACAAAAAAATCCTTTTAGAAGCTGAAAGTCGTAATAATATTTAATTTTGATTGCAATAAAACTTCTCCAGTACATCATACATCGTCATTATAACGTGACAAAATTTGTCCTCCCTTTTGCAAATTGAATTGCAAATGTCTCAAAATTGTGACGTAATGGAATAATTTGAAAAACGCATTCATATTTAGCATCCAAAAAACTATAAAAAAATAACCAATCTTGTTCCAATGTTTGAAAAAGTCATTTTGAACAGTATAATTAAATTTACAGTTCTATAAAAAAAAATTTACAGTTGATACCAAAATTGACTACAAAATACAGTTAAATAATTACAATTTTTACATTTATATTTTACATTTTTTCTCTCAATGCACCAAACGAGACGGATTCCTGATTCTCGGTCATGTTTGCCAGGAATATAAAGGAGAATCGACGGAAAGAGGATACACACGTCGTCGGTCGACAATTGGGACGAGCTCGTTCCCTGCGAACGAGCTCGATCGTTGAAATTCGATTATCGCTCGCGATTGGATTTCGTTGGCTGGGTGAATGTAACGAACGTCACGACACAATGGCCCTACGACGCATTCAGTACAGTTTCAGTAGAATATTACACGGAATGATAAAAGTGTCGATGCCCGTCGACGCCTCGCTCGAATGATAAAACGAACGCCCCGTCGCGGCATGACACGAGAGACCAACGGGCGTATGTCGCAATCTTAACCCTTTTGGAAACGTGATGTTGAGTGCAACGCGAGAGTGATTAATTTTCTCGTGTTTACTTAAAAGCAAACTCTTCCAAATTCGTGATTATTTCAAGATCAATCGATATTACTTTTAAATATAATTTTCTTAACACGTTCATTTCTACGCAAAACTTTATCTCGCATTTAATTCCTAAATTAAGAACGAATTCTTCCAAATTATTCATTTTATCATTATTTTTTTGTAGGCAAAAAGAACGATTTTACTGAAGTATCTAAAAATTTAACTAAGGTCTGCAAATAATTTTGTTGGACCATCAAAATAATTATATAGGAAACGATAAACAATACAAAAGGTTTTGACATTCTAGCAATCAATTTCAATGTTCTAGATAATTATTTTAATGACTCCACAAAATTATTTTCAGATCTGTATCGAGTTAAATTTTTAGATGGTTCACCAAAACCGTTCTTTCCGTATAAAAAATAACTGCGCGATATTATTTTCTTGAACCATATTTTTTTATCACGTTTGCTTCTATGAAATTTTATCTCGTATTTCATTCCTCAATTAAGAACTCAATTAAGAGCAAACTTTCCAAATTGCCTCGCCTCCTATAATAATTGCTTCTAGGGTGAAAAATGATCACGCAATATTATTTTTCCTTAAATCGAGTCTTTCTTTTTTTTATGTTGATTTCTTCAAATTAATTGTATGAAATTTTTTCAAGTTTCATTAAAATTTATTAGCAAAAAATGCGTTTAGAAGTTTCACTACACCACGTTGCAAATGATCGAAATTATTTTCTACATTCAAATTATTCAAGACGGTGAAGCAAATAATTCTGAAGAAGTTTCTCAATTCTGTACAACTTTCCTTCTTCGTTAGTGGCGTTAATTGACATAATAGGCAAATGAAGATCTTTATAAAGAATGAGCCATGAAATTAGCTCAGGAAAATTGGCTTTTCATAAACCGATTTCTGAAATTTTTCTGACCAACGTGAGAAATAATGCATTTTTCTCTTCGCAATGGACAGATCCTGACAGCGACGTATGTCACGAGATCATGGAGCCAATCTATCTGGTGTTATCTAGGATCTCGCGTCTCCCGATGTGACATACTCCCGGGAGGAGATATAATCAGAATGCATTATGCAACACAGGTATTGTCCATAAAGGGAGACAGCGGCTCGTTCGGCGGGAGGCAGCAGGAAGTGCTTAACCCACGTTTAAGCACCTCTCGCATCTCTCGCTCCCGTGTCATTTAGCGGCTTTAATGGCACTCATGTAAAACCCTTCATCCGCAACGGAGGATCCTAATTGCTCCGGTTTCCATGCGCGCTCTCTATGCCCTAGACTCGTCATCTATAATAATTACGCCCGTCCCTTTGTACGTGCATAGTGCATGGACCACAGAATTACTCTCCGGTGCTATGAACTATCGATTTTCGGCGAAAGCGCTGTGGGAATATTTTGTGAACGTTAGTAAACATCTTTCTACCATAAACTGCGAATATTTACTCTTGGGGATTAATTCAATGAAATTAGCGACAGTAGTAAAAGACACGTTTCGATGATATTATATGAAAAAAATAGCAAATATGCGCTGAAAGAAAAAAATTGTTGCAATTACCATAATTTATAATCATTTTTGGGACAACTATATATTTACAGCAGTTTTAATCAAATATAGTCAATTGTGCTATTAATGTAGCCACACACTGCTTAGAAATCTTTAGTTTTTCCTTAACATATTTTTTAGTTATTATTAAATAATAAGCAAAATTAAGAAAATAATTATATTCACTATGGTTTGCAATTACTAAATAAAAATATTTATTTTATTTTATTTTTCTATCTTAATATTTTATTATATCAATATTTGAAATTATCATAATTTATAGTACAATTTTTCATGTTTAAGAGAACTGTACATATAAAATTACTATTACTAACAATAATGACCAAAAAAATAAAGTTTCTAACCATAATTTTTTGTATGCAATTATAGTCATAAAATATCGGACACTTTTCTCTCAGTAATTTCGTTTTGAATGATTATTGGACAGCTAATTGATGTTTTATACGGAAAAATATGATATTATATTAAGAGCATCAGTGACAGCAGTCTAGTTAAAAATAATCTTGTTAATAACAGTATTAATTTAACAAATACGCCATATGTTCTTATTTTAATAAAATATTATTAAATTCATATCTATTTATTTGTTATTTGTTTCATTAATATCATTATTGACTAAACAAGATTATTTTTTATTAGACTGCTGTTGGTTAATGCTGTCTCTAAATTTTTTGGAGAACCTTACTGTGAGAATGAAAATTGAGCCCTCTTGAAAAAGACAGGCTCAGTTTTCAATCTTTAAGTGTAAGATTCCACTTTTCAGAGTGAGACTCACTCTAAAAGTTTTGGAGAGAACACACCATTTTTTCGTATACAATTTCTTTATTGGAATAAATATTATTTGAAAAGCGTTGGACTTTTCGTAAGATTCGAATAAGAAAATTAACGGTAATGTAAATGTGCGTGCCAGTCTCAATCAAAACTGAAGGGAATAATAGTCAGAGCGAATCATGGGAAACAAATACCTAACTAATAGGTTACTCGGTTAGTCATACGTTACGTTGATACGTGAAACGTGAACGTGTACGCATGTATGCTCGCACGACTCAACAATAACTGGTTAGAGTCTTTCAAGGTGCTTCTACATCCAGGCCAAATGGATAGAAATATTTCTGTCGTGTAATTTTCCACTTCGATGCCATGCAACTTTATTTAGCACTGAAGAAGTCGTATAAAAATCGTATGAAACCTTTAGAAAAAAAAATGTACAAAATACAGCCAAAAATATTAGACATCTTATTAATCATTAATTAAAGTTTTGACTTAAAAAATAGATTTATGGCATTTACGGTAAATAATCCTTTGTTTCTTGTAAAGAAACCTTTAAACTGATGTATAATGTTGATAATCAGTAGATAACAATATAAGTAAAAGAATTCCAAATGAAATATAAAAATATAAGTGCCTAATATTTTTATCCAAGGCTGTATGTATATATCCATAAAAACTTTGATTATTAAAATTGTCAAATAAAATTATTACAGTTTCGAATAGGGGAAATACTCTGAGAGCATCTTGAAATAGCCGTGAAATCAAAAGCGGAAATGATATTCGAATGATTACGTTGAACGTTGACCGAATGAGACAGCCACCGATATTAAGAGAATAAAGAATCAAGAGAGTAAGGGAATAATTTTGTGGGGATATTCATACAATTCAGCGAATAAAGGTTTTAAAAATTTATAGCGGAATATATGTACGTGCGAAGCGCACATTAAATTTGACATAAACCAAGTGGGCCGCTCTCGTAAAATTATTTTTATATTGAAGAAGCGACCTTATCCTCAAGGACAATAACACTGTAAAAGTTTCTGAAGACTATTTCGTTATACGCGATGTTACAAAACGAAGATTATCTTTGTGATTTCAAAAAGTAGCTCTCAACTCAAGATTCTCATTTTTAAATCTTTCTATGTTAAGTACACAACGATTTTTATACTCATTGTTAATTATAGATAATAATTAACTTTTGTTATTAATTTCATCGACAGAAAATTCAACATTACGTATTTCAATACGAGAAGAATAGTTTTTGTTGAAATATTAGTGATACGTTGAAACATATTTGAATATTTAGATAGATACAGATCTAAAAATAATTATGTGGGAAATTCAAGCATGATGATCAATGCTGCAAAAAGTTTGAATATATTAGCAACTACTTTGAGCGTTCTAAGTAATTATTTTGATAGTCCAAAATTATTTTCAGATCTGTATCTATAGTGAGTGCAAAAAATATTCGTATAGAGGATATTTTTATAAAAAAGCTTAATCTGTAAAAAATAAATATTAATTAGAAATTTTATACAATGAGTATATTTTGTCCTAATATAAACAAAAGAGATTCGTGACTTCATGACTTTAGGAATTAAATAATAAGACTTTTCGTTTTCGCTTCTTTTTAAGATAATACAATATATTTTATTTAATTATTACACTTCTTTTTAGGTAAAATAATTTTGAGTCTACAATTTATTTTTCCTTTGTTACTAAAGTGCTAATTAATGTGCGCGAATAGTTTTTGCACTTTGTAGTTAAATTTTTAGATATTTCAACAAACCCATTCTTTCCGTGTATGTATTACTTTTGCCATTGATGAAACAGATTTTGGACTCTTAGAGCTAGCAATTAAGTCAAAAATCGTGACTAAAGGTTTTACATTGTGAAGCCATTAAAGTATAACATGATGTGAAGCAGGGACAACAATGGTTTGCTGGCAATTAGAGTATCGATCGCTCCGCGAGAACGGAGTAATTTCCGTTTTCAGGAAAACGCGTTGCGTATCATCATAAAGAAAACTGGAGTTAAATGTGGATTACAATTATTCTCGCTTCCCTGATGTTGTGAATCATTATGCACCTGGATCAATTACGGACACGGACATAGCGTACGTGCTCCACCGTGTGATTGGAATGAATTGCATATGAAAAGTAAGATCTTTTCAAAGAAACCAAGGCATCCATTATATTACAGACTATATATATATTATAGATACATTATTTGATTATTAATTATATTTATATCCACGGTAATTTTCAATAATTGCTGCCTTCCTCTAAACGACTCTTCTTCGAAATCACGATAGACTTGAATAATTTCGTTTGACGTGACAGACTTTAGAGAAATTAATAAATCAAATCGCAAAGAAAGGCCAAACCACGGTTTGGATTAAACCTTAATGCTTAATAATATTTATATGTCGATCATTTTCCAGTTACATAAACTATACGCGCCGTTTATTGTTGGACTTGGAACTAGAAATGCAATTATAAACTGAAGCTGAAGTAATAACATCAGAAATTGAATTGACAAGCAATTTAATGACGCTAACGAACATCTTTAAAGCACTGTAAAAAATTTATGAGAAATGTCACCTCAGCCAGGGTTTGAGAAATTAATTCAATCTTCAAAAAGGTTAAAGTGTGGAGCCAAAAAAACTGCGTGAATTAATCGCCGGCCAGAAAATTTTGGCGGATAGACGAAATTAGCGATGCATAGATCGGTCAATGCAGAATCTCTCGGCGAGATCGTCCTTTATCCTCGCAGAACAGTCCGTCCTTCGCAACTGCAACGCAAACACGCCCGATGATATCAGCACCTCTTAATCACCACTGTTCTCTTAATCATCGACGATCGACTGTACGACGAAGTGACTCGCACGAAAAATCGCCGCGGCGGAGCAGCAGCTGCTCCGGATTTTGTTACCTGCGACAGGGCCAGGTGTACTGTCACCGCGCGCGCGGATCACCTGACGATGCCGATAACGTGACGCGCGCGACCGGTTCTCCGTAAGATAAGCGGAATGACCGCACTGCACGCCGTCCCGACGCCGACTGGCGCGTCGCTCCGACCCGGCGAACTCGAGGATGCACTGACCATGCCGCCACGCTACGGCGTCGACCACGGCAGGAACGTACGTGGGATATTGGGCACCGAGGTCGAAAGGTAGCGGGGTATGCACTCAACGATCGATTTCGAAGCCGGTCTATGTTAGTCCTTCACCGAAAAAAAAATCTGGTAGCTACCAAATGTTGAGTGAAGTAATTTCAATCAAACGATTGATTGTTTAATATAAATCAAAAATAATTATTATTTTTCTAAACGTTTAGCAAGTGTTACCGAACATAATGACAAACTGTTTGGTGATAATTACTAAATATTTAGAAAAGTAAGTAGATTGAAATTATTTCATTCAATATTTAACAGCTATTATCAGATTCTTTTTTCAGTGTTCGATCCTGGAGTATAAATCTGTTCCAGATTGGAGTCGCGATCATAAAACGGGAAAAATTAATTTATATTAGTAGATTAATTTATTTATTTAATTTTTCTGTTTTTCTCTTTAATATAAAATAAGACAATTTGATATAAAATATTAAATATTAAATTAAATGTTAAAAAAATAGAATGAAAAATGGGAAGTTATCTAATTTATATAACAAACTGTGGTTTCCATTATTGTTTATTTAATATCGTGGCATTCAATGAAAATTTTCACTTGCAAAATAATTAGCACGACCACGTCTCTTTACAATAAATTCTAAAGAATCGGTGGGAAATGAAAATTTCCATTGTAAATGAATTTATATTTAATCATTTTATTTATCTAACATTTCTGTTTTCATTAAATAAAGTAAACCAATTAGAGTTTAACATAAAATGTTAAAAAAAGAAAGGAAGAAAGCTAGATATCTAATTTATTTAGCAAAGTATACTATTTTGATTTATTTATTTACTACTTTAGCATTTAATGAAGATTTTCACTCGCGAAATAATATAATACAAGTTTGTCTCTTTATAAATGAATTCTGAAGAATCGGAGGAAAATCAAAGTTTCCGTTACAGATGAATGAATTTATCATTGAATTATTATTAATGATACTTGTGGAAGATTCTATACAGAAGAAGGATGTAAAATACCAGAACTAAAGTTTTTTTTTTTCAAATAGCATTTGCAAGATGTGCTGCACATGACATGCGCACACATGCGTGACCTCTGCAGGCCTTCAACCATCCGAGGAACCTCCAACGCTTTCTACACATAATTCTAGAAATATAGGGTCTTTCACAGTTATGCGTAATAGTAGCTTCATTTGGAGGTAATCGCGCGAATTTTCGTTCGATTTGTCAATATTATTTTGATGTCAAGCGAATAAATGTGGCTGATAACAAAATCGTATGAATATCGTTGTAAAATAAAACACTTACTATCATCTCTGCAGTTGATAGATGAAATGTTTTGATTAATGATCAAGAATTGTTATGCTGTTATTAACGACAAATTAAAATTAATTGTTTGAAATTCTATTATTATCTTCACGTTTTGTTGTTGAATAATATCTCTCTTTTTTGTCTTTGCTGGACTTTGATGTTTCTTTCATCATGACTATTTTTCATCAATTATTAAAAGCAAGCGAGGACTACATCGCTTTCCCATGCGAGAATAGCAGGCTCCTTCATCCCCATAAAACAGTCTGAGTCATCAAATCCTTCCCGTATGTACTACTCGGAGAGACAGCAATATTGTAAGGGTGGCGGAACAACCCCCAGACGGCTGAAGTTAAACTGTAGGGAACGGTCGTCAGATGCGTCTATCAGCTGCTTTCTCCAGCATCTTTTAATAAAAGTTACGGGCGTATCCAGAAAAGATAAATCCCCGGCTCAAATCGCCTTGCAAATTTCTGCTGCGGTGAAATAATTCAATATTATCCTAACAATTTTATTCGATAATTAAAATTTTATTTTTACCTTAACATATTTTTTAATCCAAACAATTCTAAAACAATTTAAATAAAATAGTTAAATAATAATTTAAATAAAATACTTAAAAAAATAATTAAAAATGAAGTAATAATAAAATAATATTAAATAATTAAATATATATATATAGCTTAAAAATAACTTAAATAAATTATTTAATTATTTTTAATAATAGAAAATACACAGATTGTTTCTACAAACATTTACATATTAAAAAAACTTTTTAATTTTTACTCATTTCTGTTTTTAAATTTATATTATAACTTTATACTACAATAATAATTTAATTTTAATCTACAAAGAAATAGAATTACACTTTTTTTCTCTTTATTACATTTTCTACGAAATATTTAAATTATGTGTTTTGAATTGGGCCCAGTTCTAGATTCCTGTCGAAGCTAAGCGCTGCGATCACGTTTTTCGTCGACTCGCTCTTGAGGAAATAATTCGCTTGCGGCTTTCGATCGCCACGACAAAGTATCTTGATCGTACAAATGCATGGATGCCTTCACCGTATATTTCCAACGAAGCTCTCCGTATTGAACTTGAACTGGTAGTAACGATCGCCAGTTAATTCCTTATTACGTTGTTTGTTATCTGATGACACGATGAATTCATGACGCATTCCTGGCGAAAGGGACGTCATGTGGGTGACGCAGTGCGCCCACCATTAATTGCGTCACAGCAACGTCATCGTTATCGTGGGACGAGGCCAGCGAATCGATATGCGTTCAAAAAACTCCGTTAATTTCGTAGTTAATGCGGAACTGTTGATTCGAAGCGGTTATCGTAAAATGAACATGAGTCATCTTACATTGAAACAAACGGAAAAAAAATTAGTTCTAATATCAATTTCATATTTTTGTAACAATGTTAAAAAAATATTTTAGTACTAATTGGACAGTTTTATTAATTTTATATTCAACTTAAATGTACGTACGCAATTTTTCTTAATTTAATATTTTTAATAATTTTAAAATGACCTAATATTAAATAATTTTAATATTAATAATATTAAAATTATTTTCATAAAGTTATTTTTAATAATTATATTAATAACTTTTTTGACGATTTCTTTAATACAAATTTTAACTTTAATTTAATAAAACTTCAACACTGTTTGCTTTTAAAACCGCAACTTTGATTGCTTTTGAGTTTAAGAAAGTTATGCTTGAGAAAAAAAACATTAGGATTAATCTCGCAGAACTGTAAAGTAATGGAAGGATGACTTTTTGCCAGATGTCATTTGAGCAGCTGGTCGATCAAGTCGTTTACTTTCGTCGTATCTACTCACGAGTACAGGTTCGAGAGGAGCCACGAGTCCAGCAAAAATTTCGCCTTCGGCGAAATGACGTTCGTTAACCTCCGTATTGACGAGGCATTTATTTTTCTCTTCCTTTTAGAAAGCGTCTTTCGAGCGAGAACTATCATCAAGCCGAAGAAATTCTAAACTCGCGAACGAACCGATTGAGAATAGACGATTAACATATTCTTACAAATGGCTGCCAAAAACCACTTCGTCGCGCGACCAGAATATTTTTTTCGACGTACTTCGCTCGCAAAATGTAAAAGTGCAATCCGCCATTATTTTGGCGTACAAAAGTAAAGACAGTTAATGTGAGAGAGAGAGAGAGAAGAAAATTAAAAGAATTATTTTATAGTAATTAATTAATTGTTTATACTATAAAATTATAAATGAAAATCGACAACGATCGCTTACATAATGTCGTTTTGATAGCATATTTATTTTAATTTCTTTTGTAGCTATTTAAAGTTAGTCAAATTTTTTAGAAATTTTTAGAGACTTTAAAAAAAAAATTGTTACTATAATTTTAGTACTATTGGAATCATTTATAATTATAAATATTACCGATTAAATTTAAAATATATGCAATAGCAATAATAGTGCATTTAATGTTAGGAGAAACAGAGCTAACAAAAGCATGATATACGCCATAAAATTTTGACCTAAAGATGATAAGAAGATGATAAAGTAAAGAAATCATTTTTAATGTAAAAAAATCACTTTACTTCAACATTTTTCAAAATAATAAATTAATTTTTCTATACCACTAAAAATATTCTGTATTTTTATTTTTAATTCTGCGAAGATCACTTTTTCATCATCAATTTTTTCCACGTTGAAATGAACTTTAATTTAAAAATTTATTTTCAATTTTATTTTGAAAAATTCAAAGTATTTTTAGTGGTAAATATAGAACAATTGATTTATTGTCCTATAAAAATCTAAAAAATGTTTTAAAGTGAAAAGTAATTGTATTGAAAAATAAAAATGTTTCATTTTATCATCTTTCTCCATTCTTGAACCGGAAATTTTTGGACTTTATGAAAATGTCAAGATAGGCATGAATTATTTTATCATGATTATTACACGAAAAGAACAATTTTATTGAATGAAAAATCTAAAATTTTGTTGAATACAGATCTGAAAATAATTTTGGTGCACCTAAAATAATTTTGTTGACAACTCAAATTGATTACTAGAATAGAAGATTTTTTGCAGCATTGCTCATCACTTTTTAGCTTTCAATATACAATAATTATTTTGATAGTCCAACAAAATGATTTTCAAAACTGTATATCTGAATATCATGCAAAATTTTAGATCTAAACAAAATCGTTCTCTCTCTATGTTATTAGATTCCGGATTCAGCCTCATTGTTTGTACATATACATATGTATATTTTTGTTTGTAGCTATTAGTGAGTGTGTGTCGCACAAATAGAGGTGAATTTTCTCTACTTTCACGTGATAACGAAGGCTTCGAGCACGTGTTTCGCCAGCGGTAATCAACCTGCGCACTCTCAAGTCTCGTTATCGAGCAGTGCTGACTCGACTATACTGCAGCACGATTTTTATTGATAAGCGAGCTCAACTTGAGTGTCGAAGCTAGCTTAATTTAATATAGGAAGCATTAACGAACATTAAAGATCGGCAGTGTACTCGACGATCAATTGAAACTTTACGTATGTGTGCCATATGAGCGACAAACGGCGCGTTCAAATATTATCGACCAGTGTTTCGCTTAAAGATTAATTC